TTACTCTACTAAGGACGTCTGAAAGTGCTATTGAGTTGTTCATCTGAAGATTTGTGTACTTGTATAATTTAACTTACGTTGTTATCCCCCAAGGTGTCTTTGTGCACAGCATATACAGGAATATTAAAGCTTGCTTTTTTTTTTTTGGTTTCAGACTTCCAGAATTAAACTTGAAGATGTAGTTCTGAGAAATACAGAACATTCATGCTAATAAGTTCTTGCTAGGAATCTAAACATATAAAACAACTGTTCTCAGATCAAATATCACTGACTTCTCTAATAAGCAGAGTAAAGCTGTGTTTTGGTAAGTCATTGACAGATTGTGCACTAGTCTTATACTCTTTGTGTTCTGTTTGGTATGAAGTACAGAGTTAATTAGCAGTGGCAATCAACCAAAGACATGACTTCAAGCAGATGCAAAAGAAACATCAGCAGTTGTCTCAGGTGAGATCAGAGGAGAGGTGTTAACCTGAGACCAACTACAATAGTGTAAAGAGATGCTGTGGCGGCTGTTCTAAGCCCCATACAACTCCATCTGTCAGCCCTGGTCGTGTTAGGGCCGGAACAATTGTATCATGATCCTGGATAACAGAGTCTGCCTTTGTAAAGAGTTTTGAAGTAGCTAAAACAGATACTCAGTAACCTATGCGGTTGATTGTTAATGTCTCAAAATCTTAGTGTGAATATAGTTATAATAATTGAAAGGACCTGTATAACAGAATGAGTTATATCCTGCTGCTTCAGGTTATGTCTTAAGGCATGTGCTTTAATCATATGGAGATAATTACAGAATCTGATTTGAATGGTTGCATGGGCCATAGTCTTTTACCGTATTTAACAGAGAGGTTTAAGAATGTAGTTTAGTGTTTGACTTTTTTGGTAATGTGCATTATTACAATGAAGGATGAAATCCAGGCCTTGAAAGTGTCAGTGACAAAGCTTTATTTACCTGCAGCAAGTAGAGGATATTACCCAGAGCACTGAGCAGAGATCTGGACCGTAGAATCCGAGATACGAGATACGTCCTGCAGCACTGTGAGTCTGGAGCTAAGCAAAGACAGGTACTTCTCTCATGTTAGGAGAAATGTCTTGTCTACTTCCCCCAGTTTAAATGATATCCTTATCATTCTGTGTAAATGAGATTGATTCCTGTTTGAAAATGATAGCAAAATAGACCAACATAACTGATTAATAGCGTGACTAATTCATAGAGATTGTTCTGATCAGGATACCTTTTCACTTAACAAGCTCTCTTGAAAGATCTCTACTAGCATTTGATATGCTATGTGTTTGTCTTTAAATGCACTTGCAAGTGCTTCTGTGACTCAGTAACACAGTTTTCTGACTCTGACCCTAAACGTAACTTTCTAAGATGTTTCTGTCTGCTGTCAGCGTTATAGGCAGTGTCAGATGGAGTGATCTTTAAAAGTGTAAATGGTTCAGATTTTCTGTGTGTTTTAAGAATAACCATGCCCTAAGGATGGAGGCTGTGAAATAATCTCATGTAAAAGACATGTACAGTGGTACTATACTGTTACCAAAGGCTTTTTGCACATGGCTGTGTTTCACTATGACCCACAGTGTAAGAAGCCACAGTAAAATAAAGAAAATAGCACTGAAGTGATTCCAACTATTTCTAAATTCACTGCCTGTCCTCATTGATGTCAGTGGGATTTCTGCCATTAATTTACCTTAGTGAGGTGTAAGAAAAAATACCCTATAATTAGTTAACCTTATCGTCAGTAATCATCAAAAGTCACTTATTTAACAGCAATGGCCTTCTAAATAAAGGAGAAGCAGGTGTCTATGTTTAGACAAGAGCTTAAAACACACACGTGAGGCAAGTGGCGAAACTGTTGACAAAAGGCAACTACATATTTAGGGACTCTGGTGTAAAGGATTGGATGGAAACATTTGCAGAATACAGGCCATGGTCTCAGACCTCCAAATTTATGATTCCAAAAGAGGGTTCTTCACTTCAAGGGAGCTGTGTGGGAATGTATGTTTATGATCATGCAGCAGTCTTTCCAGTTGTGGCCTTAGAGGCACAATTTGAAGAGCTTCCTTAAAGCACATGATAAGCAGTTACAGAAATTTCACAGAACCTGACAGCCTGTGTGAGTGAGAGACAGAGGGGAAAGAAAGTAAGTAAATGTATTCTTGTGGACAGAAAACAGCATTTTCTCCACTAAGCTGCTTAGTGGTAATACTGAAAGAAGGAAAGGTCTAAAAACATCTCTCGTCACAAGATCTTCTTAACTTTCTGGAGTGATCACTGAAGCTGATATCAGACTTACCTTGTCATTAATTTTTTACTGTTCTTAATGGAATGGTAAGTGGTGAAATCGCCTTAGATTTGTAGACCTAGCAAGCTAATCAGTGTGGAAGTAAGTGTGGTTAAATAAAGGAGCTGCCTGCTAACTCAAAAGTTATCTGAGCTGTCCGTGCCTTTCTCTCTCAGTTAGCCATTAGTATTGGTACGGTGCTTGAAGATCTTCAGGTGACCCATATTACATGGTGAAAACATAAAACATAATATCAGCTGAGATAGCATTTTCTGACAATAATAATAGCTTTTAGCCCTGCAGTCAGACTGCAGTTCCTCAGAATTTCCTTTGTTTATTGCTCTCCTGAGGTGACATTGAAACCGTAAATGTGAATTTGTTTGATGGATAATTCTTTTGTCACTGTTGAGGAAAAGTCTACAGTATTAGGGCCTGATTCATTCGTTAGAGTTAATGGAAATATATTTTTGGCTAATGTATAAGTCATGAACACATTATTGCACATTCATTAAAGTCCTGTAGATTGCTTTAATTTTGTGTAATATGATGATTTCCCCAACATTGTATTAATGTTTTCTTCCTTCTCCATAATGTCTTATCATAAATGTGTTATGCATCAGAACCACTATAGCATTAGCAGATAATTTTGAAATGAAAATTTTTGATCTGGAAGTACTGAAACATCTTAAATAGCTCCAAGAAATACAGTACGAGGCAGTCATACAGGTTTTCCAAGATTAATGCCCAAGAACAGACTTTTCAAGAGTTACAAATTTTTTGAAAAGAGTACGTAGGAGCAACTTTCATGTTGGAAGTGTAATGTTCTGGATGGTTAATGCCATCTAGATTTTTTAAAAGGCTGTTTAAATATCTATTTATTTTTGTCACATATGTAAGCCTAAAAAAAAACCCATACACCACAGTGTCTAGTTAGGTACTGGTAGCAATTAGTTAATTTTTTTAACCTAATTTGATTGTTGTATATGTTCGTAGTGGTACAAAATCGTGATGACATCATCACACTCTTACTTTTCAACTATAACTCTTAGTCATTGCATAAACTTGATGAACTTCAATTAATGAGCAGCTCTTCAGAATTTTGCATTGTCCTTAGGCCTTACATCCAGCTTGCTATTTCAATCTGTCTGTAAAGAAAAAAAGATTAATTTCTTAGCAATTTTTTATGGTCATTTTATTACACTTTCCTCACAAATATTTTTGCATTTATTTTTACAACCGTGTGAGATGTGGGCATTATCCTCAGTTTTGAGATGGAGAAAAGCAGCAGGTCATTGATTACTGGGGCAACATGCTCCAACTTGACATTACGGAGTGCCAGCGACTTGATTTTTCAAAGTGCTTTTCACCTAGTTGTATCCAAAACACAGCTTCCTTTGCCGTCAGTTGCATTTGTGAGGGCTGTAAAAACACATCTGTTCTAATTAGACTTCCATGCAAAATACTTGTGTATTTTAGAATTGTGGTAACAATTAATACTCTTTACATTGATCTTGCAAGACCTTATTTTGGCATAAATAGTTTTGATACAATTAAAGGGTGCCGAATCTCTGCTCTGACTCTGTATGCAGACCTTCAAGTACTGACAGAGAGGGGAACTCTGGGCTCCTGGCTCCTGCCCCTGTGCAGGCAGACCCATGTCTTTCTCCTTTGTATCTCTGTGCCATGGTGTGCAGTTTGCCCAGCACAGCTGGTATGCTGGGTATGTAATCTGCTGACCAGCTAGCACAAGGGGACAGGATAGGAGCAGGCCCTGCTCCTGGGGTTTGGCACCAAAGGGCATTCAGTGTGCAAAGTGGACCCAGCAAAAGGTGTTTAATCCTCAGCTGCAAACTAGCACCACAGACCTTATCTTGAGGCCTCCATCCTGCCCCCAAGATCTGAGGCATAGGATCCTCTCCTTTGGAAAACAAAATGTTAGCATTCCGTGTTCAGGGATAATTTGATCTGGCCAAACTGAATCATCATTAGAAGTGGACAAGTTGGGTAGTAGAATAGTTCTGACTTGAATTAATTCGAGCAGATAGAATACTGATTTAACTTCCTGTGAGTGGAACAATAGTGCCATCAGGTGGGCAGGAAAGTGAGTGATTCCCTGGAGAATCTTGAATGTATTGCTATTTCAGTGTCTAGATTCATCTAGGATCCAGTTGATCTTATATTAAAATTGACAGCTTAATTAGTGCTAGGTCCTGTCATTTAATTAGTGTATAAAACACAATCAGTTTCATAAAGAATAATATAAAAACGAGTGGAGCATTAAATACACCTCTTCATTAAATACCACTGCTACCGATTGCCATATCAGGTTTTACAACTGGACATTTTATTAATTCTAGTTTTTTACAACAGGTGCTAGCTATTTATGCAAACATCGAAAATTAAACAGCCCACAGAGAAGCTTTTAATTTCTCCTTCTCTTAATATTTTTACTAGGATCTTTAATGCCCAAAATTCAGATGAGCAGAGTGGATTCCAATTCAGTCTCCCAGTGGTATAAAGACCTTCTGTTTATAACAGTGGGGAACATGGTGTAAGTAGTGCTTGCAGTACTTCAAGCGTTTTCCAGCAATATGAAATCACTGCCTGCAATTGTTCATGACCTACTGGGGTACAAAATGTGTAAATAAATAGTAGGCTTGAAATAGGAAAGATCGCTTATGGCACAGATACCTTGGTCTTTATCTTGACTGATTGTTAAGATTTGACCAGAGCTTGAAACTCTGAAAAAGAACTAAAAGAATAGTAAAATGGGACCGCATTTTGTTATTGTGCAGTCAAAAGAGTGCTCTCTTAATTTTTAGAGTTAAAATGGGAAACTACTGATACTTCCTCTGATAATCGTTCATTAAAGGTAGCACATTGTATACTCATAATAATAGATACTTAAGACAAAGGAAGTGTTACATGTTAGTGTCACATTGTACTGTAGTTCAATAGTAAAAAAACAGTGAAATTACATACTGAAATTTTATAAATATGTCAATTTAGGTTCTATTCCTAAAAAAATCTCTATAGATGAAAAAAGGGACTGACCACCTGTAGCCAAGGGCAGAATATAGACTGTCTCCTATGTCAGATCCTCTCTACAATACAGAACAGATCGGAGCACCTCAGAATCAGATCCATAACATCCAATGTATGGAGCAGAGAAGCTGCCTAGAGCTAGACATTAGGAAGTCCCAATGGCAGATAGTACTCTGTTTAATAAAGGCAGTCTTACTATCCACACCAATTTTACCATCTCCCTTGCTATCACCCGCTGCCAGGAATGTCTTGGCCTCAGCATCTGTCAAAGCTCTGGCACTGGCTGAGAAATTCTGCAGGAAAAATCTGTTAAAGGTGAGAGGACAAATGAGTGAGACACACTCAGTACCAGAAGTGTTTAGAGTTTGTTACTGGTAATAACTGTAAAATTCCGAGCCTGATTCAGTTCTTGAGACTAAATCAAAAGCTCTTTGTAAGTAATTTTGAATTCAATTGCAAAACTTCCTCTAACTTCAGTGAGAATAAGGGTAAGAAGGGAAGAGGATGTTGCTTCACAACATGTGAAAATCATTGATGACATTGGATTAAAAAGGCAAAATTAAAACTGACTCCGTAGTGACAGGATTTATCTTTCCTCCTGTGTTACCTTCCTTCTTTTCTCCTAAGATGTCGACTCTTAAGAGTGACAGGAATTTTTCTAACCTTACTTTTTAACTTCAAAGTCAGATGAGTGTGATCTGGAAAACAGAATTCATCTAATAGAAAGAAAGATGAGAGGAAAATAGCCCAGTCTACTAAAAAATCTTCCAATAATGAGAAGCAAACTCTAGCAGAACTGCAGTTTTTATCTTCACAGTCTATCAGTTATCCCTACATGAAACAAATATTTTCAGTGCTATCCGAGTGTTTTCTCATTTGATCCAGCCTTTCCTTTGCTATTTATCTTGCAGCTCCTTAGCACAAGCACACACACGTGCACACACACACGATTGTCTCTCATCCAAAGAGACAGAAGAAAAGAGTATTTCTGACCTTGTCCTGCATTTTTAGACAATAAAACACAAGCCTGTTGGTAATTCATTTTTTTTTACTTCAGTTCATCTTCCTGATCAAGAATTCCAAAGACTTTAGCGAGCTGGTCTTTGGACTTGGAGTTGAGACCCACTTTGACAAAAAAGGTTTTGTAATCAAATGAATCAGCAGCTGAAATAAGCAGGAAGAGATGAAGAAAAGTAGTTAAAGATCTGGAACCAAAAAAATCAGCTTTTTGGTCAAAAAGTGGCAAATTGTTCTGCAGTACAGTGAGGGTCATTGCAAACCCCAATCCACAATCTTTGATTAACCTGAGTTAATTTCAGATTAATGGGATTTTTCCATCAATGATCTCTCAAACCTAGGAAGATAAATATTGACTGTGGTCTTCATCATACAAGAACATACATTTGTAAATAGATAATTCACTCAAAACATAAATTCACAGAACTTGATAAAAATTGTGCTTGTATTGAAATCAGCAGGAGTTTTAACTATTATTTTCTGAAAAAAAACAGGATTTCAGCCTTTGGATTTTGTCATACTTAAAGTTGCTACAATGCACAAGTGATGATGGGTGCCTGTACCTTGGCTGGCAAAGATTAAAACTTGCATCTGTTCCGTTACCTTGCCTCCTTTTTCTCTTTTTGATGAAACAGTTAGAGCTGTAATTAGCAAACAAACATAACAAGAACACCTTACCATGTACTCTGGAGAGGAAATCAGCATTATACTGTGTAGTTTATCCTTTCAGCTTTGTCTGTTTCCATTGGAATTGGGACATTGGGGTAGTGAGAACAAAGGAATTTGACAGATAAACTGAAAAGCCAAATTTAAAATAAATGTTACCTTGTCAGCTCTGTAGGCCAGCAGCAATTTCAGCTTCTATCAGGATACCGGTAAGAGCCATGTCAAAGCTACCGTAAAATGAAAAATAATACTGGGTCGAGTTCATATTGAACTTATTCTGTCAGCCTTTGATGCTGCCTCATGAGGACAACCAGGTTTGATTAGTGAGGCAGTTGGAGCCTGGGTCCCAGGGCCCACCAGGGGAACTGCCCTGCAGGAGCTGTCTGTTCCCTCCTTTAGTTCAGATACGTGTAGTGTATCTGCCTCACTGTTATCTCTAGTTAAATCTTCAGGTGCACAAGCTGAGGGCAAACCCAAATGTATTTATAGAACTGCATGGCATTTGGGGATCTTTGGTTATTTACATGCATTTTTTGTGTGGATTGTTGCGATGTCTTCAAAAGCTCCAGAGGAAAGATTGAACTCACCGTGCCACTTAGTTTTCCCCAAGCCAAGAACAGAAAAATCTGTAAGGTAAAAGATCTGCAGAGCCCTCTTGACTTAATTCTTTTTCAGACGACAGAGATAATGACTTGTATAGACCTGAGTTAAATCCTCTTGACCTTCTGCTGAAGTCCTAGAGCCATGGAACGGCTCAGATACCCCAGGAGATAAGTTACTGTGGCTGACAAGACCTGCTAGCTAATCAGATTGGTATTTATATCCCAAAGGAATGTACATGGTGTTTGAGACAATATATAACGTTCAGTGCCATACAAAGTAGATCCTCTGAGCTTGCACCTATTTTTAATCTAGCGAATGATTTTTGATCTGTAAATGAAAATTTTTTTTTTTTTTATTGCTTAATGATAGCAACAAATGGACATCTTCATGGTAGACTGATTTTTAAGGGCCTGATCCTGATAGGAATTACCCATGGAACATTACTCCTGCAATTGCCCTATTAGTCTTCAAATAATGCTAATACTGATACATTGGTAATAGATATATCTGACGTACAAGTAGACTCTCACAGATAAAGCTTTTAATTTTAAAGCAGCCCAAAGTATTTTTAATAAGCTGATACATAGGCTTTGGTTACCCCATTACTGAAATATGTACTTCAGGCTATAAAAGCCTAATACCGAAGACATTTGCTCAGTATTCATTCATTGCGTGGTGCATGTTTTATATCATCACAATAAATTTGTCCATTTATAGGATGAAGGTTGTCAGTTGTTCAGCAGCTCATAGGAGTATGCATGAGTTAATGGCAAGGAGTGAAACTGAGCAGGGAAATCTGTAATATTTAATTCTTTCTTTCTGTTCTGAAAAAATAAACTTTAAAGATTCAAAAGTAGGTAAGCTCAAGCTGCAGCTTTTCTCTAACTGGGTATTAATAGGATCCTCTGCTTGGCCATCTCATGAAATCTTTTGGCACTTAATGGCCTCAAAAATGGCTGGAATTGGCCAATGGGGTAAAAAGCCATTGGGAGAACACTTTATACCCACACATGCGTAAATGTGCATGCATGGAGTATCATTGTAGATTTAAATAGTATTTGAGTAAGGTAATTACATTTAAAATAAAGCCTAACGTTTGGGCAATTTAACATAAAGCTGCTGTCTTTTCTTTCAAAAATTGTATACATGACAATACAGACTAAACTTCATCTTGCATGTTACTTGCCCTTGATCATTTCTCTGAGAAAAGGATGCTTAGGAGAAGTGGTAACTGTATTGTTCTAAACCCATGCTGTTTGGTAAATTGAACATTGTGAAAGCAAAGTTTTCTGGACTATGTAAAATCAACTGAGCAAGTTACTTTTAAAGATAAACTAATTGATCCAGTCGTTCCATTTGGGAATCTAGCTTGGCCTTTGTTTCAAATTCCTAGGAAATGAGAGTATGGCCTGGGATCTGAGAGGATCTGATAAATGCATTGGAGTTACTGAACGTTCAAGAAGTAATGCTTGTGAGAAGACCACATTGAGATTAGAAAGCAGATGATACCCATAAAAGCGTTCGAGTATTTCTGTGTCGAAGCAGAGTTGACCCGTAGGTGGCACCAAAGACAGTCAGGTCCAGCCGTGAAATCTCTTCCGGATCACTTCGAGTGAGAGAAAACCAAGGAACTGAGAATGAGAACAGGTTAACAGGTGGGTGTTCATGAGCAAGGGAGAGAAGAGGAAGGAATAGATACTTAAAAGAAGAAAAGTCTAGTTTACCAAATCACTCGAAAGGCTGAAATATAAATAGACTAAATTGAAAACTCAGAAATCATTCCAGAGGACTTTCCTTTAATCATAATTAGGAAGAATAGGTTGTTTTGTGTGTCTAGCAAAACCAGCTTTTACTGTGTTTATTTTTATGCTGGCAAAGTATTACAGTGTGTTAGGGAGATCATTGCAAATATGAGATCACTTTGTTTTGGAAGCCTGGGAGTTAGAGCAGAAAGTTAGTATCTAGGAAATACCAGCTGGTTAATACCTAGTTGTGATGAAACTGATGTGATTCCTTTTGAATCAAGTGTTTGCTTTATGTATTCTACTTTGACATAAGTTCCCCTTTGAACTTAGGGTCAATTATATCTTTGTGACTGTGTGGAAAGCATTGTCTAGGGGTGCCTTCTTTTCATGTTGTACTGATGGGGTGATCTGATTTTCTCTTCTGGAGCTTGATATACAAAAACTGTGGTTTTCTTGTTTTTGTGAGTGTAGGCCATGCTGATAAGCAAATCAAAAGTTACGGAGCAGCCATATCCCAACTGCTAGGTAGTTTGCTCTGTAGGCCTCTGGTACAGAAAATGTACCAGAAAGACCATACCAATGTAATGGTATCTTTCTGTGCTTGCAAGCAAAAGGAATACAGAAATTTTCATAAAACGTGAACACTTTAAATTAGTTCGTATTCCACAGCATCCACTTATTAAAATGTTTTAAAATACATGAATAATTAAGCATGAAAATGTTAGGTACGTGTCTGTTGAGGGATTTAATCAAGATGTATCTATTTCAGTAACCCATTCCAGGAAATGAATCCAGCCTTGGCCCCCTCTGCCCACACTGTTTGTGTGAAGAGCTCCAGGCGCCTCTGATGATGCTGCATCAAAGATTTTCCACATGGGCTGGCTGCTAACTCAAAGAAGAAACTTTACCAGTCTATGTGTGCAATGAATGTTCTGACATCCCCTTGCCCTTTCTGTGCTCTCTTACTTGTTAGAAGGTGACTGTGAGGTTTTGAACAGTTGGAGAGCTGAAATTGAATCTGAAGTTTACAGATGGCTCTAGGTTGGGATTTCCAAAGGAACATGAAGTTAGGAGGCAGCCAGCTTCCACTAAATACCAGGAGATTTTATCGTATGCATGATTCTGCTCCTTTATCCGGACAACCCAAAATTTCAGTTTGAGAGGAATGATGGATTCAGTGGCTAGAGCATTAGGGTGGGTTTGGGACATTGAGTTCAACACTCTGGCCCTCTATATCCTTTTTCTAAGAGCTTGTGTAGGACAAGCAATTTCTTTGTGTTTAGTTCCCACTCAGAGAGATCATAGTACGTCTTTATTTCACGAGAAGTATTGGGAGGATTAGAGATTAAACTGCTCATACAGGTGTGTCTGAGAATGCACAGCCTTTGGGCTCCGTAGAACTCAGGTCTGCCATTCACATTTTGGGTTGCTCTTTCATTGTCTTAAGTAAAGGTAAAACATAAACAACATGTCCTTTATCCTGGGAATTATGAAGTAGTATTATACTGAGTATTATACTGAGAAGGACGGTCTTACTCTAAACCTGAGGACAGGTTATCAGTGTAATAGTACAGGTGTTGGTAGATCCTTTCTGATTTGATGTAGCATAAACAATTTCTAACAGAATTTTGGTTTTTAGCTCTGTACTCAGCAGTGTTTTATTTCTGTACTTCATTCAAAAAAGCTTGATGCAGAGGTTTTAATCGTTACTTATTAGATTGCCCAGAGAGGTTATAGAACCTCCATCCTTGAAGATGGTCAAACTCAGTTTAGAGCAATGTTCCATAAGTTGGCCTTCTGAGGAAGCAATTGGACCAGAGACCTCCGGAGATCCTTTCCAGTGTGAATTACTCTGTGATTTTATACGTTAACTGTGATGACATTGTGATACAATCATTTGTCTCCTTACTACTTCAAATGGCATCCACATAGACACCCTGCAAAGCACAGTGACATTGTCAAGTTCAGAGAACACTGTGCTATTCCCTAAGAAAACCGAAGGCTGCCACAGGCTGTACTTAAATTCATTAAATGAACCTTCCAAGAAAACTTTACGTTTTTTGAATTTGTTTCCTTTAGGTGGAAAGTATTCTCTTCTAGTGTAATTAGCTCTAGAAATGTGGATTCTAGTGCAAACAGGAGACTTAATAGGGACTAGGCATTATTTGTGACGAACAGTCTACTGGCTTTTTTTGAAATGGGGGACTTTTTGGAATTTTATTGTAATTCTTTCTAATGCAATGACTGGATGGTTTTAATAAGATTTAAAACTCATCTTCTTGCCACGAGTTACTGTTTAAGAAGAACAGATTTTCTTATAAACAACATTCTCTAAGTTTTACATAAAGTTGCAACATACATAATGCCTGATTCTCAGTACTTAATTCCCCCTTGTGGCCACAGAAGGCAGCGATGTGCAGTTGTTTAACGTCTCTGACATACAGAATAGGTTACTATGTGGTCTTGCATTTCTTGCAACCCACATGAGACTTTCAGATGTGCAAGGAATGCTGTATCAGGTCTGTCACTTATGGTATTGTGTGTGCCACCTGCTTGTGAACTAGTGGCGTGATGTTTTAATCATTGGCAGTGTGAAGAGTTAATCTATACATTACATCCGTATATTGCTGCACATCTGGATTGCTCTGGATTTTTTTCTTCAGCAGATAGGAAAATGAGTGAGGTAAAAGGAACCAACAGAGTCTTATAATTATGCAAAATATTTCAGTGCTGCAATTAACAGCAGCTATAATTTAAGCCCAGATTTAACATCAAAGGCTGTGGGGATAGAATTAGGATTTATATTCATATTAATTCTGCCAAGGCTTCAGTGAGTCTGATTGCTAGAATTCCTCTTTTGCATTAGCTGTCTTAAATCTGCCGAACAGCTCTCTTACACGCCTGGGTATGAGTGAGCTGTACTTGCCTCACATAATCATCTTGCAATTCATGGAAATGCCAGCATTGAATGTTACATAAAAGTTCCAGAAGGCTTTGTTTCTGCTCTTCTTCGAAACAGCTGCCAAATTATGTTATAATTATCATCCAGTTTCAGCAGGGAGTATTAAAATGACAGTCTACTTGTGAGCTGGAATCACATCATGGTAGATGGGAAAGGAGACAACTAAATGTTGGTGGGGAAATTTCCAACCCACTCAGCCAGAAATGCACAACATCTACTCAGTCTATTGAGCCCTGCACTTAACCATGAACATTATTTACTTTGTCCATTAATGAAGACAATGCTGTAAGTAGCTCTAAATCCTGTAAGACGCTTATCAAAGGAGAGACTAGTTCTTAGTGATTTTCAGACTTAAGAAAATTGCTAATATTATGGATTATATAGATGATTATTGATTATAATAAATGAAAGAATTGAGTAATGGCCGTTATTTAGCAATGTAACAGACCTTTAAGGTAATCAAACAGCAACACTGGCTGTTATTTCATCTGTGGGAAACAGAGAAATTCACAAATGTGGTGAAGTATTACTGTTTTGTATATATTAAGAGATGATAAGCAACACATTGATGATTCACAGCAAAACCTCCAGGCCTGTGGCCCATGTTGTCAGGGGACTGTGACTTGTGACCGTGTCAGAGTTGGGATTAGACCCTTCTCCTCTATCTCACAGCTGCCTTAGATTTCATGAAAGATAAATCTTCATAAGGGAGAGTTACATTTTAGGCCATAAACACTTTCTGATGATACATGCTGTAGCCTAGTACTTCATTTTGTAAAATTACCCACAAACTTATTCCATGCTTTGAGCTATGTGTCAACTCCTCTTAAATTTTTTTCTTATATTCTCAGGGTTGGGACTTAATATGAATTATTTTTAGCTATCTTGTTAGCATTGCTATTTCTCAAAGATCAGAGAATTAAGCAGAAATAAAACTCAATGAAATCAGTACAATGAAGCCTTAAAAGTTGTCATATTGTTTAAGATCATCAAAACCGTCTGGCAAGTCAGCATGGTCAAGTGTGAGGATGGAAAACCTAATCAAAATTTTAAAAGCAGGTTTTTTTCCCCAAAGTTGATTGTCGTTTTTTCTTTTTTTCATTTTTTCCTCCCCTCTTCCAGCCACAATTTCAACATTATGAGTGGTTGAAAATCACAAAGTGCCTTCTTCACAATGGAAACGTAACAATACCACGTGACCAAAACATCTGTACATTGCAAGATTTCTCAGCCATCTGGTGTGTGAACTTGATGTATGGGGAATTGTTAACACCTGAAACAATGTAAAAATGCACAAACACATGCTGAGTGCGAAGTGCTTGTTGGACGAGGTAATTGGAAGAGTCAGTCCAAGGTTGCCTTTGGTCTAATGCTGTTTATGCCTTCACCAGAGACTGGAATTCTGTCAAGGAAGAAAATGAGAAAGGCAGAGAATTAAACTAGATGAAAGTGGGTTTTAACATCTTTAGAAAAGATAGATAAAAATGACTTAAACTCCTAGCCATGGAGGGCTCCCAAAGTTATTATAACACTGCACAAGTTACTGCTAAACTGAGATTCTGGGGGCGTAACAGATTTTTCACTGCTTAAAAAGAGTAAGTGCAGAGAGGAGGAATGCGTCTGTTAATTCATATTTGTGGGAAGTTCTGAGTTAAAGGTAAACTATCTTTAACCCATTACAAACTCTGATAATAGCCAAGGAAGGAGAGAGTGAATTAGGTCGAGATTGTAGGTTTCAATATGAGGGATTTTTTGGTTTTGTTATTCCAAAGAAAAAATATCAGTAGTGATGTAATTTCAGAATGAGAGATTCAATGGTTAAGGGCTAAGATCTGCATAATATAATGCTCTATATGGGACTCATAAACAGAAGCTGCAAAAGCTGCTGCTAAAGCAAATTCCTCCGACAGTGTATCTCTCTCTCTCCTCCCAAACTCTGGCTAAGATTAGCACGTGTGTCTGTTAGAGTTATTGCCACCTGTCCTAGTTCAGCTGAGACAGCCCTGTTTTCAGTGACTTCATCTCTAATATATGATGCATAATGTCCTATTTTCCTTTGCTGCAATTTCTAAAAGAAATATGCTGGCCAGTTCACATCATCCCTGTGAGGTTTTCTTTAGGAATTTGATTTAGTTTCTCGTAGGACTGTCCAGTGAAATCTGCACTTAACAGATGATTCTCCAGCACAAAATTCTGTGCTGCATTGCAGAAGTTCTAGCCTCAAAAAACAATACCAGTCTTATTTTACATTACTAAATTAACCATTTGGTGATATTGGCAAATGTTTGATAGTGGTAGATGAAGAAACAAGTTTATGTAGGTGGAAGCATGTTTAAAAATGGAAGTGTCATACGGCCAGAAGTGCAGAGCATCCGCTGGCGAAATGGAAATTGAATCGGTATTCAGGATGTTTTAAAAATCTGGCACATTGAGCCTATGGATCAGACACACAGCGGAATTAAGCCAAAGTTGTTATTATTGATTGGAAGAACAGGCTCTACATTGGGCCTAAATATGCTGTTGCTGCAACAGAGACCAAATGGGAATAAAGCTGTGAAAATAAAGGAGTATTCGCTAGTATAAAAATTGTGACAGAAAGTACCAGGCCAAAGTACTCGGCTATATTCTTTGTGCCACGGTTTAAATGCAGCTCTAAATGCACACTTTAAACCACAAATTTTACGAAGTTTCCAAAAGTCTTACCTTCCACTCCGATTTTGCCGTCACCATCAGCATCACCTGCAGCCAGAAAAGCCTTAGTCTCCGCGGAGGTGAGGACTCTGGCACTCGAAGAAAAATTCTTCAGAAACAGCCTGAAATAGAACAGGCTAAAGTTCTGTGCTTGAGTTTTATCCTCTGAAATGTCCTTAGTATATTGGTATCTCTGGTTTTCTTAAAAACCATTGCCAAAAAGCCTATAAGGTAATGCCTGTTTTTATTATCTGAGGAAATCCGCACAGATTCAATGAAAGACAAGGAATTGTGTTTTATTTTTAAAATAACAGCAGATTTCTTCTAGGACACTGAGCAAGTTCAAAGGTTTACAGTGTTTAAAGAAATACAGCAGCTGAACAGTACTTACTGAAGCTCCTCTTCTTCGATGAAACCACTCTTGTCCTGATCAAGGATTCCAAAAACTTTCTTTATCTGATCAGGAGTCTTGCTGGATAAACCAACCGTGGAGAAGAAAGACTTGTAGTTGAAAGAATCATCAGCTGGAAAAAACAGAAGTTATTTAAATCTTTTCCCTCGAAGTTGCTACTACTGTAGGTTTTCCTTGGTAATATGTATGTCTTTTCTTAAGCATCAGCCTGCTTCTCTTTCTCTTGTTCCCCAGTGGATATTTTCCCTTTTTAATCACTCTGTGCCTGTGGTCATATATGCTTTCAGCCAGTTTGAAGATTTCTGCTACAATGGACATTCTGCTAAATCAGGATTTATGCAATGTGTCACATGCAGTTAATTATAAATATTTAGAGGGCGCTACTGTGGATTAGAGACCGTCTCCTATAATTCATTCTTCATGTTCACTTAGTCCTTACTTTGGTGAAGAATTTGATAGAAAAGTAATTAATTCACAGTCAAACTAGCTCTTTGAGCATTTGGAAAATTGGCTTGTTCTTGCTGAAGAACTCTTAAGAGATCTGAGACTGGTCATTGATTCACAAATGAGATTCTGCAAGCTCAGGCTTTTTTTGACATTTTGAAGGAAAACGCTAACTATTTAAACATAAGTCTCTAACAGGTTTAAAAATTGACAAGAGTTTAGAGTTATGCCAGCCCTGACTAAACCTGTGGCCCTTTAGTTGCTGCTCTGTGTTTTGGGGAATGTTACCCACCAAATAACCACTTGTGAGACTTGGTGAATTCAAGGGACTATACTGTAATGTAGCTAGAAAGAGATCTCACGGGGAAGGAATCTCAGGGGAAAATGATAGGCATGTCATCTTAAGACATAAAAATGATATGCATCTTCTGGCTGCAGAGAGACCATTCCTTACCCTGGCAGCTGGAGAGAGCAGATTCAATATCTTTAGCAGAAAGGATGTCAGTGATGGCCATTGTTGAACTGTAAAATAAATTAAATGTGAGCTACTTAGTCATTAAAATTACTTCTCTACCTCTTTCATGGCTCTATTCGAAGTTGCTGCTGTGACAGTACATGATAGGGGAGACATTATTCATCTAGTTGTAAGTGGAGCGTACTGTAACAGATGTCTGCAGCAGGTGCTTCCACTTAAAGCTGGGTAATGAGGGAGGAATTCTGCATGCGGGAGTGCGGGGCTTCAGGAAGATCTGATGCCGATACTGCACTGGGAGAGTGAATCAAAGGTGTCTAGCACCACAAAACTTCACGACTTCTGTGTGGGTTTTCCTGGAGGTGGATTATTACTCAATTAAAATCGGCATATATTTACAGCATACATAAAAGATAAGGCTCAGCGTGTCCTCTAGAACTGTATCTGGAATAAATGTAATTAGAATTTAAAAAGATCTGTTATTGTTACGAATAAATGGAGTGATCTTTTAAAAGAATGAAAATAATGGTGTAGAATAAGTGATAATAATTTTAGTCCTTTCAAGGAACTCTAAATTTGGAGAGTAAGTTCATCCTCTGTGTAGTTGCAGCAATAAATGTAACTACACTATAAATTTGGCTGGGTTGCTGCATCATTAAAAGACTACATTTCATGATAGCTTTATAAAAAAGTTTTCTTAAGTATTTTGTTGTTTGTTTGTTAATTCCATGTAGGTGATAATAAGCCAGATTTTTATGCAGATTTTGGCATTTCAGTATACTGATATGCTTAGAACAGAGCTATCGAAACAATATTCATTCCTAGTAGAGTGGAGGAGGTGTTTTCTTCTGATACAGCAGCATTCGACGAGAGATACTCTGTCCGATTCAGCTACAAGCATCTGCAATAGTTTGCCAACGTAATATGTATCACGTAAGGAAATTCAAGGCCTGAATTTCTAGTCAATTTTTTAGTGTGAACAGAGCATTGATGCATTTACAGTTTGGTAAACTGCACACACCAGTGCAAACTGGTTACATTTTAAAACTTGCAACAATACTGTAAAGTAGCTTCATGTTAATGAAAGAAGGGGAACTGAGGCATAGAAAAGTTACTCTTGAAAGACACGAGAGAACAGAAACAGCTTTTCATGAATCCCTAAGTGATCTTCAGCAACATCGTCCTTCCTGTCTAAGCATTCAAAGCAGGATTCACGAGAAGGAAGCAAATGCTGGTAACTTGTAACCTGTGTGCTGGTTTGAGATCTACACACAGGTGTAAACTTTGCCTAAACCATGAAATGGCTGCCTCCTTACCTGATGGTTTGCAGCAGAGGAAATTGTCAATCATTTCAGTCCCTGTCTGAATATCTCAGAAGGTGTAAGGAGACAGTGGGACAATTTCACGCTGATGGCAATGGGTACTTTTCCAGCTAAGGCAGATGAGTTACTTTTGTTTTGCTAGCAATTATTTTGTCCCAGTAGCTTCTTGTGCAAAGTACTTCCCCCTCTCAGCACTAGGCGAGATAATTTGGAGCTCTGCCATTCATCTAATTCTCACTGCTAACGGGATTAAAAATGGGGAATAGTTGAAGGAAAACCTAAAAATTGCAGCATTTTTTACAAGGGGCATCATTCCAGTCTTTTCCCTCCTGTGGTCTGAATGCTGATTCTATTCTACATTAGCTTGTAAAGATACGATATACTGGAAGCTGGTACAAGAATAGATATGTTAATTGCATAGGCGCTTTCCATTTAGGGAGCGTTTTGCTTTTGTGTTTCTTTTTCTAAAGCAGAGGATCTAATCAGCTTACCTTTGTGGTCTTCTTGACTGGATAAGGAAGCAATCTGGTTGGGAGGAACGTACTTGCTGTGTGTCTCCAGCAGAGCTGAGCTTGCATATATATACTTTAAGTTGTATACCATATACAGATTTTAGATTTCAGCGTCACGAAGGGGGAATGGTGTCAAATGAACTTGCCTAACTAATCATCTTGCACTATTTTTATCTCAAGAGAATACATATGATATTTGCAAACGAAACAAGATAAGTGGCCAGATAGGCGAAAAGGACAGAGTCTTATTAAATTTCTTCTGATTTAAGCAGAAAATACCAACTTCTCCATATGATGTAGGGCAGGAAAAAAGCCCCACTATCTGATACGCTTGATCCAAAGAGTCAGATGAAATGAAGCACTACTGACTTCTGAAGAGATGCCTTTAATGAATGTTTAGATGTGATAACTTGATATCTTATCTGTAGACACTACATGTGATAGAGTTTCCTCATTAGAGCGTTAAACAAAAAAAATTAAAAATATCCTGTTCAAATATTGTTTGCGTAGCAAAGTTGTCTCCCATAATGTCTGGTCTGTTGTTGTTTAAAAAGAAACACCACACAGTGAATTTGTTGCTACTGGAGGTAAAATAATATGTCAATCCATTGGAACAGTTGGTTGAGGGAGGGTATTTTGTCTGGTATGTTTCCAGAGAAAATCTTAGAATACTGCAAGGTTCTGACAACCTGTTTAGTAGCGTATGTATGAAGCAAAGGGGTTGTGATCTACCCAGCTGTCTCTGAGACAAAAGCCCCTGAGCCCTACGTGAAAGGTCTTTGCTTTCAGAATAGAAAGAAAGATTTCAATAGCAGCATCACTTCAGGGAACAATATATGAGGAGTGTCTTTGCAATTTTGTAGCCTACCTTACGATCTCTTTTAGATAAGTGGTTTTGGTTTTGGTTTTGGCCAGTGCTGTTTCCAAGTGTTCTTTTGTACTAGTTATGCTTTTTTTTTTTTTTTTTTTTTTAAATAGCGTAGAAACTATTTGATCATCTCAATTTTCTTTCATGAACGTTGTAGCCTAACTGGGTGAGGAACCTGTCAGCTTGGATCTCACTTGTGGCTTGAGGCAGGAGAACAGTGAAAGACAAGTCATATGGATGACAGCACAAGATGGCATTATGGCCAGGGGTAAGGAATGGCAAGGGATGACAGTGCAACTGGCATCACTGCTTGAGGTGGTGGCACAGTAAGAAGTGACTATGCAGAGTCAGAAATGTCAGAAAGAGCAGCAAGGCATCTTTTTTCAGAAGCATTCTCTCTAAGATGGAAGGCAAACCTAACCAAGCACTGAAGCCAATGACTAGTAAATCCTAGTGTGAGGCAGAAAAAGCAGCAAATGAGGTACCTACAAGACCTTAGTGCATCCAACATTGACAGCAGTTGATGAAAAAGCCACAAAGACTATTGCAAAAGTTACTGTGTGTGGAGGGGGTGTTATTTTACTTACTGCATATAAACACAAGAAAAATTATTGCTACAAGTTTTTTTCTTTTTACAAATTCTGCATATCTGTCCATGAAAAAGTTTCAGACACAGATAATTCTTGTGAGGAGAAGAACGGTTGGTTTAAGACCAGTTGTGGAAGATTTTAACGTTCCCAGTTTTCTGAATGGGTTGTTGACCAGCTGACGCTGAAAAATTTCAAGAAGAATTTGATGGATAGATATTTAATACTGTCTCTTGTTGCCACTGGTGACATCTGGTAGAGGGGATACAAATATCACTTTCCCCCCTCAAACTCTTCTAAGAAATGACTTCTATGCCACATGGGAAAACATTTCCTCTCCCTTGTGCACACACCACTTTTTTCTCCCTGTCCAATTCAGAAAATTGCCTACACAGTGCCAACAACTGATGTGAAGTAAGTAGGGTGTCCAACATAAAAACTGATGGCATGATATGACCTAATGAAGCTAAGTTAAGAGGAAGGCCAAATTCTGCTGAAACTCTTGGACTGCAGGAGTCTACACGGGAATCTGGGCTCTGGTGTCTATTTCAGAGAATGCATTTGATTTTAGATGCAATGGCTTCTCATTTTGCCCAGAGCTAATTCCACATATGTTAACCCCTCGCCCCCACTCTTGCCTTTAAAAATAGCATTGATTGCTGTTATTTCCCTTAGTGCCTGTGGACTGTTGCCATTAGTTTGAACTTTTGTATGTGAATCACATAAGGCTGCAGTCTGTAAAAGTGTGCTTTGTTTTCTAAGAGGCTTCAGAGAGATGATTCCTTTTGTTCTCTGAAATTTTAAGGATAAAGCATGAACATCAAATGATTTATGGCTCTAGTCTGTTGAGGTGCATTCAGACTCCAGCAAACTTTGGAGTTGCTTTTGCAGTGAGATTGGAGGCACTAAAGATCCAGAACACGTGCACTGGCTGGCAGGATGAAATGCACAAGGATCATGTAACTCTATTTACAACCATTTTATTTTCAAGCCCTACATTAGAGATTGCAAAAACATCTGTCTAGTCATTTTTACTTTCTTAAGTCAAGTACTGTTAGTAACTTTCCAGCCGCCATCCAACTTGGCAGGGAAGGGAACTGGGGAAGTATTAAAAAGTAAAGAGAAGATAGCCCTTTCAGATTGTCAAGTTACCAGTAAGAGCTTTGCTCCAGTCTCATTGCCTTCTAGAGAACTCTGTAATGGAAAGCTTGTCTCTTGTTTTATTCTTCCCATTTTCTATCTTAACTCTTCTAACAGCTGAAGTTACCTCCCCAGGTTGAAAAGCTATATTTTAGGTCATCATAAGTTCTGTGATAGTTCTATCATATATCCTTGTCATTCTTCTTTGAGTACTGACGTGAACTGTATGTGCAACAGAATAACAGAAATACACCGAACAGTTGTGAATGCCTACTTCGAGTAAGTGTGGTTTGCTGCTCTTGTATACGCCTGAGATCGTTTTCCCTGAATGCTTATGATGGAAATATCCATGGTCACCAGTCAAGGAATAGAAATCACCATATATATGTGTTTAACCTATTGATAAGGACATGTGACTAGTGAAAGTGGAATAGTAGTTCAGCTTGTAATTTGCTTTGGGAAGACATGAGGTGAAAGAAATTGTATGAATGTCATTTAGTGTAATTGTATTAATGCATCATGCTCCTGTCATTCAAGGAACGTAACTCTTGGAGTGATCTTGAAATATTTGTGAGTGGTTTTAGGTTTATATTAATTAATTTAAAATCTGTAGACAACTTGTAACTACCCCCCAGTAAAATGCTGAAAAACACTCAAACAATTGCTATTAGGTGAGGAAGCTGTACATGGGAAATACCCCAAATAACATCGTTTTATTTTTGCAAACTTGAATGATTCACAAAAAGTAAGTCATTATTTTTCACCAGCTGTCATTCTAGTGTCAAGTGGCTTCAACCTCTGAAGTAGATTTTCAGAAATTCTGAGAATTTACTATGTAACTTTTCAACTTCAAGTGCTCTTTGAAGTGCTAATTTACAAAATTCATTTAGTCGTATTTTTCTTACATTTTTATGTAAGAAATATTTTTAAGAATAATTTTTAAGCCAATTGGATTGTTTGCATAAATAAGAGAATTTCTGATTCTCCATATCTGAAATTTGCAAGAGAAAGTTTCAGTTCTGATTCCAAAATTTGAAAAGAATGTGGTCCAGATGTAAAATCTATGCAATTTCTCAAGCTGCGGTTTTGAGATTTTTGTTCCTGAATTCAAACTTTCCAGTTCCCTTCCATTTCTGTTTCTTTCTGAAAATGTTCATACATTGATGCAGAAAGAAAAAGGCTTTTTTTTAAGAAAGAAATTCACATAGAATGATTCCTAAATGATAGATTCCCAGTGGACAAAATACTTGAACCTCCAGATGACTCTATCCATAGTTTAAAAATTACATGCAGCAAGTGTCAGCAAGCCTATAGAATAAATATTTTTCCTGCTTTAATTCTGAAGCAAAAAGCTTACTATTTTTGGAAGTATCCTAATAAAATTGCCAATAGAAAGGTATGTGTTGGATAATCATGTTTTTTGAGTAGAAAATAAAATCAGTTCTGTCAAGGGCTAAGTTGGAAACGAAGATATATGCTGAAAACAGAAGTTCTGTACAATATTTGATCTACTATATTCTGTTCTTGAGCTACGTTCTTCAACTCCCGACTGATAACATCCCTAAAGAGGGTCTTTTTTACAGGAATTGTAACAATAGTCTCGTGTTTACACTGCGTAGCTCAGTGCAGGCCTGCTCCACGACTGTGGTTTATAAGCACTATAAATAACCATCAGTTGCGGCAGGCTTTCAAATATAGATATGTTTGAAATTAACTCAGATGTTTTTGAGCCTGTCTGTATATTCTTGTGGAGTCCTTATCACACTGTGTAAACAGTGTGTCTCCCTATAAACAGAAACAACTCCTTGTAGTTATGTAATTGCAGGAACATGAAACAAGAATTGGGTCGTTACTCATGCGTATACTAATCTAGTAGTGATATTGCTGAATAAAGCAGTGCCTTTGATTTTTCTGGCAGAGTTGCTTGTCAGGGATATATATATTTCAAAGATATAGGGGTTTCAAAAAACCCAAATGCTAACTGACATAAAATTGACTCTTAGAGATGTTTTTTGTGTGCACAAAGCCCGTACCCAGTGTGATTTACAGGTGCCTGGTGAGGTGTGACTTAACTCTCTGCTCCTCCATTTGCCAAGATCAGGATCTAATCAAAACTTTTCACAGTTCCAGTCCAGTCTGTGTGCTTGGGCTGCTTTGCTGTGAAAACTAGAGCGTGATAAGGGGCTGATGTGTGTTTGGGTATTGTCCAAATGTGGTGTTCATGTCTCTGGGGCACACACCCGCACTCAGGAACTCAGAAGCATTCCTTCGTTAGACGTTGCCAACAAACAGCAAAGCACTGACAATAATTAGAATGAGGACTATAGAAAAATAAGCTGAATTAATATGGAAATTGGTACTAGAGACATAATGGCATCGGATATGAAAGCATTAAGTCTTTACAAACAAGAATTCATTGAGCATT